TGTTACCTTAACACCTTGAGCTGGTACAGGTTGTGCTTGTCCTCATCTGCTTGTCCTCCTGAGATGGATACCCCTTGCTTGCCCTCCCATATCCCTGCCACCTACCCCAATATCTGCTTTGTGCCCTCCACACTTCCAACACAACCTCTGGCTCATGCATCCCATGATCTCTCTTGCCTGCAAACAGATGAAGTCATTGCAATCAATGATGAGGGGGTACCATGCACCCTGAATGATGCAATCAACATGGCGATTGCAACAAAGGTGTCAGGGCACCAGCTCATTGCTTGGTCAAGAGACATGACTAAGCCTTTATGACATGGAAGTAGCTGGTATACCTTGGCATGTGCTGGAACCTGCTGGAAGGATTGGATGGTCAGGTGACCTGCTGTGCATGGCTGTGCATGACCTCATATGACCTCATCCTTGGTCATATGACCTGATCACCTGACTAGGCTGAGTAAGCAAGATGTTCTAGCAGGTTCCACCACAGAGGTATAAATATAAGGCCTACTCTGCCCGGGACTGTCTCTTCAGACTTGGTCTCTTAGGATCATCCACAGATACCTATACTGTAGATAGGTCTTAGTCATCAGGTCTACTCCACTTCCTTGTTGCCTGCTTAGACTCTTGGCACTCTTAGGTGAGCAGACTTAGTCAGCCTGTGTTGCCCTAACACATCCACAGGTACCTATACTGTAGATAGGTCTTAGTCATCAGGTCTACTCCACTTCCTTGTTGCCTGCTTAGACTCTTGGCACTCTTAGGTGAGCAGACTTAGTTAGCCTGTGTTGCCCTAACAGTGACACTGCTCAGGCAGAGCACAGCCTGTACCAAAGCAAGATCAGTTCCCTGCAAGCTCAGCTTCATGACAAGCAGTTCAAACTGGTGACAATTGCCATGGAGAAGGATAAAATCATTGAGAACTTGCAGACCCAGTGTCTCAAGGATGTGCAAGAGCATCTTGCAGTCCAACAGGAGCTTGACATGACAAAGGCCAAGCTTGAGATGCAAGAGCAGATGCAGACCATGATGATGGGGATGGGGGGAATGGGGGTGCTCATTGCCCAATTGATGAACATTGCACCCAAGGATATGCATCCTCACTCATCTTCTTCTACCATGTAGTGAAACTGGGTTACCTGGTCTGCTTTCCATATATCCTCAAATAGCATGTTGTGAAGGTTCCCCCACACTTTTTTCAGCTCTTTTGTCTCAGTCCAAATTGGCTCATAAACATTCTTCAGCTGGTTAATTCTGACAAGGTGCACCCTGATTTGGTGAAGTCAGAATACAGTTTTGAGCAGGGTGCACCTTGCTCCGGTATCATTGGCATCAAGGGGGAGGCGCAGCCTGCCAAATGACACTTAGATGGCCCTCATACCCCATTCAGCTGATTGTCAATACAAAATGAGTGCTCAATGAACCAGAGGTTTTTGCATATGGTTCTTGAACCACTTTTCAAAGGTGTCCAGATCTTGCTCTGGAGAGATCCTCAGTTTCGGGGGAACACCATATCTGCAGCAAGATAATACCCATCAGGGGTGTTATGCTCCAGTTAAAGATAGATGTCTGAGGACACCCACGAGTCATGCCAGCTGCCTGGAGCATTGAAGGCCACATGTAGGAGTTCACCTTGAAGAAATGGGATCAGCCATGCCCAGGATGCACATTCTGTACTGACCACTTGATGCAAAGACAAGCACATTGCTTGTGAAATGTCCGTGCAGCCACCCATTGTACTGCGCACCCTGCCAGGGCTCATCACTTGAGGTGGCCATTGGCAGGTTGAGCCCATCCACCAATCTGAATGCACCCTGCAGCAGAGGATGTTGGGCCTGAACCAGGTTGGAGAGGAACTCGAATTCCTTGTCTTTAGGCCATGAAATCTGTCCTTTGGGAATACACTTCAGTGTGTGCAGCAGCAAGCTCAGCACAAATTGGCAGTACCAACTTATACAGGCAGGAACGACTGCAAAGATTTGTGCAAGCAACTTGTCTCTCATCATAGAGTTTAGCCAATGGAGTACTAGTCCAAGGGTGCCAGCATCATTGAGAGACCTCTGCCATGGATGTGGTTTGCTGCAGGGTGCAACCTCAGCTCAGGGAATGGGACTCATATCCCATTCTTCTTTGAATCCCCTCAGGATGCACCAAAATGTCTCCATGTCGACACCCATTGTTGCTATATATGTGTGGTCTGCTTCTCCATGGAATACCTTCATCCATGGTGTATTCCCTCATGGGTGAGAGAGCAAGTTACAATGCCAGAGATATGATCAATGCTCAGCCCAGTGCACCATTCAGTAATGCCATGCTTGGTGGTCTACCATGACCAGGAATGCTGCAGCGAGTGCCATCTCAGCCTGGTCCTCATCAGATTCAGAGTTGTTGTCTTCCGGATCTTGGCAGGGTGCATGCAACCTGTTGAGCTTGTAGGTTGGCATAGCTGGGGTGGGAGTGGGGATGAGACAGGATGCACATCCTGAAAAGCAGTAAGAAACAAATATTTTAACACACCATGTGAAATTCATTCTGGGCATGCTTCTTTGATTGATTGATTGATGGCTGGACCCAATATTCCATGACATTGCTCTACCCTACCTATGCTACCATCCCCTTGTCCATGAACTCCATCACAACCCATTGAGAGTGGCCCTTCCACTAGGCTGTCTGTCAGTGCATCCTGACTCAACTGTATGCAAGCATACAAAGACAGCATTATCAAAAACAATTGACATTCTAGGAAAGGTTAGCACATCCTGAGGGGAGAGAGAGGACAAGGATGTGCACTTTTCAAGGGCATTTGGGACATCATACATGACATACCCCACAAGCCATATCTCGTTGAGGTGCTTGAGATGATTGGTTTGCAGCTGGGGGATGATGTCCAGACCAGCGACCCCAATTGCTATGTATCTGCCATTGCTGAGAGCAAGCCTGGGGTACATGTCAGGGTGCACATCCTGTGGGGTTAGTGAATGACTCATGTTATCAGGGGTGGGTCATGAGAGTGGCCAGTGCAGGTCTTCATCTCCTGTATGCAGATGATCTGGAGGATGGTGGTTCTGGCAGATGAGCATAGCAGTGTTGGGGATGATCAGGGAGAGGGTGAGCTGACAATGAGGAGAGGGGGAGGGCACAACCTGACACAGCCTGCACATGGCCCATCTGTGTATCTGTGTTGCTCTAGTCAGACATCCATGGTCTGTGTGGACAGAAGCAAAGGACTTGCAGTTGCCTCTGTTGATTGGTTTATGTCTACAATTTTAGGATCTAGGGCCCATGGGAAGGCATCCAGTAGCATGTAGGTTGATGTGGATTGGAGGCAAAAGACCCTACTTTTACCAAATATAGAAATGGCTTGATAAGGAACCAATGCTATGGACCTTGCCCATAGCATTGCCTAAATAAATAATTCTCTTAGTTAAAAATATGATATTATCACCCTACCACTAACCTAACCCTAACCCCTACCCCACCCTAACCTGCTGGATGGGATGATCCTAACCAGTACCCTAACATCACACAGGCACATACGGCAAGAATTCCCTTTTACAGAAATTACAGAGGTAAACTGCCTCTGACAGGCACATTACTACATGCTACTTACTACTTTTCTTGTCATCACTCAGCAGGGTGGGCACTCTTGGGTTGGTGAGGACTTGGATGGGATGATGCACTGCCAGTGGACAAGCAACAAATCAAAGATACAAATGATATTTATGCTGTGTTATCCTCAGACACCACTGTTGACATATGCCAGTGCTGAATTGTCTCAAGTTCTATGTGTGCATTGCCTCATAGACAGCATCTATTCAAAACCTAGTCGGTGTCAAGGGCAAATTACTTCTTTCTTGAATGAAAGACAAAACTTGCCGAGGCAATTCATTGACACTGCATTCAAAAGACCATTCAATAGCATTGTATACATATAGATACCACTTACTCACCAGCACATGATAAGCTGTTCCATGAAGATATCAGCCTGGTTGGGTATAAAAGGATGGCAGCAAAAACCACTTTTCCTTGAGCTGATCTTCACACATCCCTCAAAACCCCAATCTTTGATTATTAGCACACACACCACACC